TTCCGACACAGCACCTGATGAGGAGTGAGATGGCGTCAACTAAACATGGACTCAAATCGATCACCTCACAGCCCATTCCCCTTGAAGTGAATGTGACCAAAGCTGTTACTCGATTTGGGGTCAGCGCGTTCACTACTACCACACAGTTGTATATTATCATTTACTTCTTGCCTTCGATTTCGGATATACTGAACTCGTTCTCTGTCAGCTCCGAATCCCAGTCAGGAATTATACGTTAACGCTGGAAGGCAAACGCGTGTTGCAGAACCAGCTACCGAAACGTAAATAAGTAGTGTGAAATCGACATTTACAAGTCAACCCACGAAGTTTCACATAGCAGGTGCTCTGATTGGTAGATCAGTTCTGCCAGCCCATGGGAATATTGGAGCGCACGCCGTATGGACGCGAACTTTCCTGAAACCACTTGTTTCAGTTGTACATCATTTGCTCAACTAGTTTTCACATTGAATTAATGAATTTTCCTAGAAGACTTTACGCTGTTTGACATTTCCCCTTTTGAGATCGCAGCTGCGGTATCGTATGATAAGCCTGGGTTGACTTGCAGTCCTGAAGACGGTCTTCTCCGTCTGTTCCCCCCTCGCCTAGATTGAAGTGCCTTTGGATGTGGCTTCGGGCTATTGGATGCATCGTTCGATTGACGATTACCCTCCCTGTCTGGTTCCGGTAAGTTGAAGTGATCCACAAAGTGGTCGAAAGGTAGCTTGGCTGGCTTCTGTTACGGAGAGAAAGCTTACAGCCAGCGATCAAGCCGAGAGCAGTGGCGTAGAAGCGGATCGATCTACAACTAGAGATCGAACTCGAGTACAGATCAAAATGCGAATTGATGTGGAATCAGTGGCAAGTTGGGTCATGAACTTGAGTCATTTGAGTTGTATTAATTAACATCAATTAGCATCTCCAATATTATCATGTTAGTAGTTGTCCACAACCTATTTATTGCGCCATGCTCTCATACAATACGTCTCTCTGTCTACCTAGTTCTGGCCTTTTGTATTCCGTCGGTTGGCTGGGCACGTGACTGATCAGTCAGACAGTCGCAGTCCTAAGGGGCAGCTATCAGCAGTACGACAGTCGTCTGGACAGAGAGCAGAGGTAAAGAAGAAGCGTTTACAATGGCTTCCTCCATTCTGGTCAGTACAGCATTGGGTGTAGCTGATTTGCAAGGTGGACCCATGTTTGCGATCCAATGCGCACATCCGTAAATGATGTCTCCACGTTTACATTTGATCTCACCTGGAGTCTATGCTGCATGATCTTTCCGATAGTCGCGTGCGAGCACTGAGTCTTGAATGGACGCTGCTTTTCTCCATGCTGCCGGTTGGATACTTGCTTCATGTTTCTGTTTTTTTCCGCTGTACGAGGACCCAGGAGCTGGTTGAAATGTATCAGATGACTTGCGGAGCTTCTTGCCCATAATCGCTTCTACTGGGGACACTCCGTTCGGTGCACGAGGCTTCGGCATATACCGGTTCGGTAGACATCGAAGAGTCATAGCCTCTCGATCCAGTCCATTTCATGAAGGTTTAGATTCGGTCGGTCCGTTAGGTAACATGTTCCACTCCGTTAAAGGCGATTTTGCTGGTGATTTCCCCGACCAGATTCAGCACTCCGCCAGATAATTGAGCCCCTTTGTTAGAACCAGCAACTTTCGGCTTCCTGACATAGTTCCATGTGTTCTTGGAAATGACGGTTATATCGGACGCTCGGAAAGAATCCCGCTATGTACGATAATGAAGCTTGTGGGGTTCTTACTCACTCGGGAAGGCGGCAACGACTGACAGGGAGTCTGCAATAGTATTTGTAGCCTTCTTGTTGGAATGGAACGGCTCATAGCCTTAGGATAACCTGCTTGTCTTTAGTCTGATGGTGCGGGTTTGAGCCTGCTTTCGATCAGGGCGGCCCTCCGTTTATCTTTAGCACATGTGTGACTGGAGGTGGTCGCACGGCATTGTGGCATCCGTGCTGCGTACCGGCGTACTACTGGAAATTAGAGGTTAACTCTTTAGGCAAAGGTGTGTTGCAGAACCAGCTATCGAAAGGCAAACAACTTGTGTGATATCGACATTTACAAGTCATCCCACAACGTTTCACACATCAGAGCAGGTGCTCTGATTGGTGGATCAGTTCCGCTAGCCCATGTGAATATTGTTGCTCACGTCGTATGGACGCGGAATTACCTGAAACCACTCGCTGTTTCAGTTTTACAACAGTTGCCCAATTAGTTTTCCTACTGGATTTATCAGTTTTTCTGGGAGATATTTCACGTTATGAGCATTCTTATGGGTGCGTTTCGGTGGACGTCCGGATGTTCATTGTAAACGCACATTGCTTGCCAACTGGCGAAGTTGGATGGTTTGTTTGCGGATCAAACTGCACTGGCATCAGAGCTGACTAAGCGCTTACTGATCACATTTTCAAATCACCGGTGGCTTATTCGCCGAAATTTACTGACAGCCGGCTTGTCTTCATATTGCATATCAATCTGCCAAACAGGATATTGGTCTCGACGCAGTCTTTGGGACCTCTGGATGCTCGTCGACACGTTACGGCTGAGTGGGAACACCATGACACTTGCAAAAATCTTATGACCATACTGCTTCTAAGCCCGAAAAGAGACCGCAAAGCCTGATGGTCTCATCGTTCTTCGGAATTGGAAACAACTTCTTCCCTTTGTAACCAACACGTTAGTCCATCTGATACGGGAAACGAGCAGCACTGATCTGGTTTTAGCCAGACTTTGAGCCGAATCGTTCGAAATGCATTTTATTTAATCAGAGTTTTCATTTTTGGACACTGCTCGCCCTTCTCACTGGGGCATCATCTTAAATCCTCCCTCATGCGCAGAAGTCGGACGTGAGATCAAATGTTTGATATTGTATGATGCTAACGTTCCGAGTGTGGCGGTTATAATAGAATCAGTCTGATCTCAATCCCCTCCAAGTTAATTGCCTCGGTCGTCCTTCAAATACAGATGGGCACCGATCATAACTTCATTCTACGTCAAATATTTTTGAACCCTCATATATATTGGCAGCCCACCGTAGTTGTGTTCCTTGATATCAAAGACGCTTTCGATTCGGATTGATATGCACTCTAGGGCTGTCTGTTCAGAAAAGTTGTTTACAAGAACTACACCGATTTTTGAGCACTCTACGCCTATAGTTCAAGCAGACTGGCTGTTTGTTACAAACGGTCGCCCCCTCCGGTATCTAGCTGTGTGAGACTAGGTTTCTTGCTGTTACCCTTCCCTTTTAACTTCCCCATCGCCGAAGTAATGGCAACTGCTTGGGGGATCGTTTTGAAGTGCTCGTTGTGTGAATCGATTGTGCGGCACAATCTCAATGTGAACCGCGGTTCGAATTGCAGCTGACCGTGGTAAATTGGATCGCTGACGCCGTATCTGAAACAGATGGAAATTGGATTTTGTCCTCCCGAAAACACTGTATTCCTTAACACGTTTCCATTACCATCTCATCATATCGAGATAGCAGGCATCGAACCCGGACTATTGGAATGTTAGTCGGAACCTGCTTTCGTTGGGCACGACTTGGAAGGTGTAATGCTACTCTCAGGTGATCTACCTCCTGGATTGTAAGGCGCCGGTGACATTGCTCTTTCTGTGACAGCTCCCAGACGTGCCAAGCAGCATTCGTTAAACTATCTTTGACTGTCAATCGTTTCCGGCTATGGTTTGCGCCCTCAAAATGCAAAGTCCTTATGATTGGCACGTATCCAGTCCTTTGGTGGTAGTCAAATGAAAGTCATACCAAAATTAAAATACTTAAGCAGGTATATCAGCGCCTGTTGGATAAAAGACAAGGTCACGAACCGTATAGCAAAAGTTTGGGGCGCTTTTTCCAATCTCCGCCACATGTGTCGCCTGCACGACATCACTCTCACTCTAATGGACGGAGTTTACAATACAGCCATGCACTTCGCCCTACTGTACGGTAGCGAAACCTGACCTATCAGATCGACAGATGTGAGGAGGGTGGTAACGTTCGGTCACCGCTGCCGTCGCAACTTAGCTCATGTCCGGTGTGAACACCGCCTTAGCGATAAGCCTGTCCAAGGAGCGAGTGAACCGCTCAGAACCGTTATATCACGTACCAGGCTCCGATGGCTGTGCCACATGTTGTGCATGCCAGCCCACCGACGGTCGCGTCGTTCATTGTCTGCGCGACCGGAATGTGGATCGAAGAAGAAAAGGGGTATCCAAAGTGTTATTTGGTGAGGAGTAATGTAAACCTTCAGTTCTTACTCGGCACCGGTTGCTGCTTCCCGGTTGCCGGGCTGGGGTCTCGATGACGGTCAATACGTTTGGTTGGTTATACTAGCTGATATGGTGAAGAGCCGGTCCTAGTGGCGTTTATGTTGTGTTTCTTTGTTTTTCCCCATCCCGCTTATCTTGCCACTCCAACCAAGTTCTTTTACGTGATGCATAATACGATACTAAACATCATATTAGTTTTTTGGTTTCCATGTATTCTATAGTGTTTTGTATCTTTTTATATCTATCATTTTCTATTACGGTACATTAGCCGATGTGTGGTCCTCGAACCCCATCCGACTGACGTCAGGCATTGGAATTCATTTTTTCAATGGATCAGTTCTTAACCAATTCTCACGGACAGATTAGTGATGCGAAGTTCCACCACAGCTGATTCATTCTGAGTCAGCTTCTTGATCCACTATTCTTAGGAATACTTTGAACCAAGGGATCTTAGTAGCAAAAGCCGAAACGCCATGTCCTGCTTTATTTTTCCCGTGTCGTTGAGGCGGCGAAGCTCCATGTACCCTTCGGCCATTCTGCTTGGGGGGGTTTCCAGGGGGGATTACCAATGATTAACTCGAAAGCCATTTTTGTATTGCCTGCTGTATCAGCTGTTTCGTGCGCTGATGTGGTTTCTGCGGTGCCCCCGTTATATTTCCTATAGCCTTTCACCCTTGTTACATGATTAATTAAAATTATATTTTAGACCCTACTTCGTGAAAAAACGACTGTTCGATCAACAAGTATCCGTGAGTTCCTTGCCTTATTAGACGCTTTCATTTTCCTCGCTTGTTTCCGTCTGCCATTTAGCTTCATTTTAGTAAAGTGTTTCATTTTTATTACCACTACTTACTTCGGCAATGTAGCTTGCCCTGCTTATTATTTATAGTAGCTACCGCTCACTTTTAACTACTCCACCTGTTAACTTTCAAAATTCCGCCTTACCCTAGCTTCATAAGTTGTTGTCTATGTCTGGCAA